GTTCTGCTTGGGACGGTCAACTTGCTCTTAAAACTAAGTAGCTCACTGAAGTCTGTGGAAAAGGCTCACGGAGTAATGAAGAGATGTCAGCCATACTATTAAAGTGGAAGTCTAGGGTGGAATAAAAAAATCTAATAAATAAGACTACTAAAATAGCCACGTTTGCTTCATTAAAATCTAGTAGATCTTAAGTAAAACATGCCTATATTCTTAACATTGGATACATAGGACAACTCAAACTGCATCCTAAAACCATAGTGTGATTTAAAAACACTCTGACTAGAGAGAGCCTTGAATGAATTAGAAGAAAAGGGCTGAGAAATGGAGTCAAGTGAAAAAGAGATTATAAGAAAGTCAAAGTTACGTAGAGGGAAATGGGGGAGACCTACCTCAGAATAAGCAGTTAGACAGCAATGAACTAAAAGGTCCTGTAAGTGTGTGTGTATGTGTGCGTGTGTGTGTGCGTGCATGTGTGTGTGTGCACTTGTGCGTGTGTGTGTGTGTGTGTGTGTGTGCGTATGATAAACTGACTCAAGAGAAAAAACTCACAATTTATTGAAGGAATTCCTAGCAAAAGCTAACTTCATTAGTATCAGAAGGAAAGTTAATGTTTAAACAGTTTTTCCCACATCTGCTACTTCCATAATGTCTGGGCAATTGTCATAAATTAGGAGTGGGGAAGGGCACAGTGCCAATTGTCAAAACAAATAGGCGATTCTGGAGCCCAGGTTTCGTGTTATTTTTCCTCCTCGCTGTGAAGGCAGCCTGCCCTGATCGAGGACTATCTAGCCTGGTAATTGTACCCAGGAAAGGCCCACTGACATAGCCGTGCTAATAACAGAGGCTATGAGGAAATCTTGTATCTCTAGTGTCCTGGGCCTTGGAAAGAGAAAATGAGCTCTTACTGTTGAGTTCATGGAATAGGAGCACGGAGACAGGAGCATTTCCAGGGCTTGGCACCGAATTACCCCTTCCCTCTTACTCATGCATTCCTATTCTGCAAATACATCTTCCTCCTAGACTGTTCCCCACTCCGGAGGTCAAGTCCCAAGCTCTGTATTTCCTGCACCCCACGTAGGCACAGTGTCCAGTCCACAGTGGATTAGGTAATTTTGTCCGTGGCTTGACCTGTTCTGTTTCTTTGCTTGGCAAGACCCAAACAGTGAGAGGCTTTGGACAGGCTTGCCCACCAGCTTTGCTCTCTTCCTTTCTGCTTTGTGCCTCCAGAGGATTCAGCTGCTTAGAGAGACACGAATTGCCCCTTCTCTGTGAGGTGCAGTAAGTCTCTACAGGCTGATAATTAGATCCTGGCTAACGGGTAGGAAGACTGTGATCCTAAGCTAAAGTTCCATCTTACCAGAAAGTTCCATACTGGCATTCAAGGCACCAACCCAGCCAATTATAGACTAGGGCCTTGTTTCCCAATAGCCATTGTTGTTATTTAAACAAGATTATGGGAAGAGTAAGGCGGGATTTAGAATTATCTGATGTCCCTGGTCTTGACGTCCCTTGCTCAACACCAGAATTTCAATATAATCTGCTAATACCAATGCATTTTAACAATATCTTGAATTCTTACACAGAGAAAAATGACAAGACTGACTCCCACTTTCCCAGGATTCTACCTGTTAAAGTCCCCATCAGCTTTTTGTCGTTTTGGTCTTACTCAGCTGTCACCTAGCCAGTGGTTGAGTTCCTTGCCAATCCATAACAGACTCATCATCTTTAATAACATCTATTACAGCTGGTGGCCTTTTCTCTTAGACTTATTATGCCCCAGAAAAAGCTGATATTGAAAAAAAAAACAAAAAACAAAACAGCTTCAAAACTCAATGCGAGATTGTCCTTAGCATGGATGTGCCTAGCTGGAGTTCGCATGGAGTTCCTGAAGATAGTCTCAAAAAAAGTTCAAAGGCTATCTGTGGTGAACCATTTGGAAGTAGGTCCTTCATTTAGTCATTCAACAAACGTTATCCTTTTAAAATTTTAAGATGTATTTTAATTATGTCTTTCTATCTAAGTGCAAATTGGCACATGTGAGTGTTGGTGTCAAATACCCCTGGAATTATAATTATAAGTGATTGATAGTCATCCTACATGAATACTGGAGACCAAACTTTGATCCTTTGTAAGAGCAGTATGCACTCTTAACTGTGGAGGCATCTTTCCAGCCCCAGGGAATAGCTCTGGATTTCTTGCTTAGGACCAGATCCGATCTTGGGTTCATTAGCAACTTAATGAACTAGATTCTAAGGTCAAACCATGGCCTGCATCTGCCTTCTAGCTTGCTTTCATCTCCATAGTAATTAAAGAAAGAAATGATTATTGGTAGGACTGCGGCTCCTGTCGATGCTCCCTGCCGTCCTCCCAATGATGGCAGTAGGTTCTAGCCCTTGAGTGCCCAGCCTGATTGCTCTCCAGTCTCCTAGCTGATAGACTATTTTCAGCAGCCATTGCTTTCTGGGTCTCCGCAGAGTAAGAAGTTCAGGTTCTTCTCCAGCCCACACGTTTCCGTCATTTTAATCCTAGCTCAACATTTGCTTCTTCTAAATGCCTTCTAAGATGAACCGTGATAACTTAATTTTGTTTTCTCATGACAAAGATAAGCATGCATAAAATAGTTATTTTTCTTTAATTTAGTGGATTAGAGAATCAAATGTAAGCTCACAACATGAAGGTAATACATTGTAGTTATCACTGAAAGTCAGTTGAAGTTCATGTTACTGTTTAAAAGCATCCAGAGGATAAAGATCAGAACCTAAAGCTACAGGCTTCGTGGGCAGAGCTTAAGTCCCTGTGCTACAACAGAGAGGTTGTGTTCCAAGGACCTGTCCACGAATGGGCATCAAATTGGAGAGGGGAGGAACTTGCCTGCCTCAACATAAATTAGTGTCATCTAATTTCCTTGAGTTTTTTCTATTACTTTCACAGTAAACTTAAATTAACATAGATATATGTTAGATTAACATATATAGATAGATATCCATTATATATTCACACACACACGCGCGCGCGCGCGCGCGCGCACACACACATTTCCTCAGTTTCTCAAAAGTAGTCATTTTTCCACCAGATAATAAAGCTCTGAGTTATAAATGTAATCCTATACATTAAAAGTCTTGCATACTGCCCTGGCTGGCTAGTTTTATGTCAACTTGACACAAGTTAAAGTTATCTAAAAGGAGGAGCCCTTAATGCATCCATAAGATCTGGCTGTAGGTTTCCTACTAGACCCATAATGGCTTCCTCAATCAAGATTTGTTTCCTTGCTCTCCCCCTCTGTCCTTTCCTTGTCTCAGCCACGCGGTTCTCATGTTCTCCTCTCCCCTCTCTTTCTCTTCTCTTCCTCTCCTTCCATCCTCCCCTTGCACACTCCCAATTTTCTGGCACTAGAAAAATTCCCAGGAATCCAGAAGGATGACCCCAGCCAAGACCGTAAGCAATTGTGGAGAGGGTACTTGAACTGGTGGTCTTTTTCTGTAATCATATTGATGACTACCTTAATTGTCTTATAGAACTTTTCATCCAGCAACAGATGGAAGCAGATGCAGAGATCCACAGCTAAGCACTGGACCGAGCTCCCAGAGTCCAGTAGAAGAGTGGAAGGAGTAATAATATGAGCAAAGGGATCAAGACTATGATGGGGATACCCACAGAAGCTTCTGACCTGAGCTAGTTGGAGCTCACTGACTCCAGACTGACAGGGGGAACCTGCATAGGACCAAACAAGGCCCTCTGAATGTGGGTGACAGTTCTGTGACTGGGGCAGTCTAGGACCAGTATTTATGCCTAGTGCTTGAAGTGGCTTTTTGCAACCCATTCTCCTTGAAGGGATATTTCGCTCAGCCTAAATATAGTGGGAAGGGCCTTGATCTTGCCTCAAAGTGATATTCCAGACATTCTTGAACCCCCGTGGAAGTCTTACCCTCTCTGAGGAGTGGATAGTAGTGGGGTTGGGGGTACGGGAGGAGGAAGGGGAGGGGGAACTGGGATTCTTATTTTATGTAAAACTGTTTTAAAATAAAATTTTTTTCGAAAGATCTGACTGTAGAACATTTTATTAATTAGTGATTGGTGGCGGAGGACCCAGTCCACTGTCAGTGGTGCTATCCCTTGGCTGGTGGTCTTGGGTTCTGTAAGAAAGCAGGTTGAGCAAGCCATGATGAACAAGTCATTAATCAGCTCCTCTCCATGGCTTCTGCGTCAACTCCTGCCTCCAGGTCCCTGCCTGCTTGAGTTCCTGTCCTGCCTTCCTTTAATGATGAACTGTGATGTGGGAGTGTAAGCGGAATAAATTCTTTCCTCCCCTATTTGCTTCTGGTCATGGTGTTCTATCACAGCTATAGTAACTTAAACAAAAACAAGTACTTTAAGCTAGAAGTCAACTTTGTGAGTTTTCTATGAACACATAAGAGAACTCTTGTACCAGGCTAAACCTGACTTAGAGCTGAGGGGGCAAAGCCCCGTTAAAAGAAAATATTTTGGACATTGCTCTGCCCCAGCCCCAGGAGGGACACCAAAATAGTGTTAGCTGGATGAATACTTTTAAAGTTCATGGAAGATCAGTTCAAAGGTTAAGGAACCAAGGAAATACGCATTTGTCTATATTTTTTCTTATCTACCACAATTATGGTCAGAGCTAGTATTGTCAGTAGAATTTTTACAGGAAGTTTTCTATCTGAGATTTCTCCCCACTAAAAAGCACCATTCTAGGATCCTATTCATTGTCAGTCCACAGTTATGAACTTTTGAAGAAAATCCCTCATTTAAAAATATTGGATCAAAGAAACAAAAGAACTGGGTACGCCTTTAATTCCCAACACACCCTGAAGACAGAGGCAAGCATTTTTTTTTTTTTTGTATGTTTCAGGACAGCCAGAGTAACATGGTGAGACTGTCTCGGAATGACGGTAAAGCACACACTATCCATTGACAGTATCCAAACATTACATTTATACAATTATATTTTATTGAAATAATAAAGAAGAGAATAGCCTTACCAGTTGCCCTGTGGGGTTTTGAGCTGCTGCACAGCATAACCAAACTGTTCACTTGAAGGACCGGAAAATATTTTTGCTCCTGGGAGGCCAACATTGTATGCCAGACAGCTTAAAATACCTATTAAAATGGAAAACACAGCCATATTTACAATTTTTAATGTAAGTGCATAATATGATTGGTAAGGACCATGTTTTAAAAAAACTTTGTCTGACCTGATAACTCTTCTCCTTATCAGTGTTGATAAGAAGTAACAGCTACTACAGCTAAGGCATGTGTGTGGGCCCTAGCACAGGTGTAGATACTCATATGCATAATTCACTGCCTTAATATTGCCCCTCCCGGCAGCCTCAGCGGACAATGGTATCTTTGCTTCACAGAGATTTTGGAGGTTCCAGATGAGTCTCTCATGCCCAGTGATAAGGGAAGGCCAGGATTTGATCAAGAGACCGAATTAACACACTCAGCTCTTAAACCATTGTTTTATTATATATTGTATGGTGATTTAAATTCTTTTTGTCTTCACTCACAGAGCAAGACCCTAAGCTACTCACACACAGTGTCTGAAGGGGGCCCTCTCTCCTTGACATAGTCTCCGTATGAAACGTGTGTTAAAAACATAGTGCTTAGGAGAAAGGAAAGTCACAGCCCCGCAAATCAGCATCATTTGCTTTCTCAGAAAAGGATGCTTCGTAAGCTAAAGACTTAGGAAACGGTGCATTATCTTCTTATTCCAGTGGGAACTGTCAAAAGCACTTTGTCTTTTGATTTTTCTTACTTAACAATCAATAAATGGCAGTCTTGGAAAACAGAACAAAGCGAAGGAGACAATATCTAATAGAGTTTGTTTGTTTTACACTTCTGTTTCTGATCGAAAGGGAGAGAAAAGCAGAGCTAACTCTCTCTGGTGCCAAAAGCACGGATGCTGGGAGGGCTTCACACTGTAGAAGGCAGGTTTTGTGAGTTTGGAAAGAGGGTGCTGCAGAGCTCCACCATTTATCCTTGCAGAGCTTTTCTTTTTCTTTTCTTTTCTTTTTTTTTTTTTTTAAAGAAAAAGCAACAAAACAGCCTGGACTCTTAAACTTAACGTCACCATTCCTGTTCCCCTTGTCTTCACAGAGGAAGGTTTCACTTTGGGACCCGCACTAAGTCTGCATGGTGTTTTAGACGTCTGTCATTCCAGGCACAAAAAGCCTGGATGAACTGGCTTGCTTTACCACTGTGCTTCTGAACTTATGGGAGGAGATGCTATAGACTGTTTCCAAGGAAAAATGAAGTCACCAATGACACTTTGGGAGCTGAAATAATCAATGAACCTTTTTAAGTGCCAAAAATACTCTACCGGGCGTTGGCTCACTCAAAAAAGCCCAGCTCATTATTTCTTAGAAATGTAAACTTTCCAAGAAGAAAAGGGCACATATTATTTTTGAAATACATTGTGACATAATCTGCATGGGTCAACATTTGGACATTTGATCTGTAACATCTGTCTCTTCATAGGACCACTGTGCCTTTTTACTGAGGAAGCAAAATGCAAAAGGAAATAACAGCTCAAAAAAGTTGAGCAGAATCCCAAAAGCAGCATTCAGAATGCTCGTGTATCTAACAAGACCTCGCCTTTACCCATTATGAGAACTCAGCAAGTACATCAGGTTTTTTGTATGCTAGTTAAAGCTTGAGAGGTGATGTCAAACTATTGTCATTTTAAACAATCTAACACCTGAAAGAATATATGTGACTGGACATAAAATGATGCAGTTCCTTCCCACTATTAAGTTAGACTTTGGCAAATCATGTAATAGGAAATGAATCAGGGTGGAGTTCGCTTTATTATTTAATGCTAAATTTTATGAGAGTTTGCATTTATAGGCATTTATTTCAATGTAATGGCAAGTGTATGCTTTAGGAAATGTGTCGTTAGGTGCCTTTGTTATTATGTAATCATAAAATGCACATAAACACACAAGATCACTATTACACTCTTGGGAAACATAATTTTTAAAAAAATTTATTAAAGTTTTCTCATCTTTCCTCTCCATCAACTCCTCCCTATCTCTCTACCCAGCCAACTTCATGTCCTTTCTCTCTCTTTATCTTAAGGGTTCACACCACTCTATGTCATCCATTTTTTGACTAAAATGCTGCTATACAACATATACATGTAGCATATGTGTATATTATGTATGATTATATACATATATAATGACTGGTTTATAAATAAGGAAATAAAAATTCATTTTAATAGTCTAATTTATAAATATATGTATATTACTGTACATTACAAATGTATATATGGGAAACATTTTTCAAAGTGAAAGACATCATTCCATCTTTCTGTTTAAATTACTAAAGATCTTGTTGTAGTACTGAGAAAATCCAGTTTCCTCACGGAGTTTCAAAGGTCTTTCTTATCTGATGCTCATGTAGTTTTCTGGTCTCATCCCTCTGCTTTCCTCCTGGCTTCACTGGGTCCTAGACACATTCCTTTTCCTTCTGTCCTTGAACACACCCAGAAAATTCCAGTCGCAGTCTTTGATACCTGTCTCACTGCTAGAGCTCTCGCCAAACTCCAGATTTAAGGTTTTGGAAATTATTCATTGTATTGGTCTGTGTTTGAATAGTCTCTATTCTAGGGACTTCCTTAATTCCTGGATTTAGCAGCAATATCGTCTTCCCACACTATCCCACTGGGGTGACAATTACCTGCAGTTTTCTCATGTGTCCATATTTCTTGATGTCACCTTCTGTCAACTACAATGCAAGGTCCTTGAGAGACCAGCCATGGCTTTTATTTCCCCATATTTTCTCAGAACTTAAGGTAATATTTGTGTCTGTGTCTGTGTGCACGCTCATGTGTGCATGTCCATGCACACACGGAGGCCCCGGAACGGTGTCAGGCATCCTGTTTTGTCACACCACTGAGAAAGTTCTTTACTGAACCTAGAGCTAGACTAGCAGCTGGTAATCCCCAGGATTCTTTTGGCTCCACTTCCTGCTTTGTGAAAGGCACTGGGGTTGCAGCTGGTTTTGCAATAGCTTTCCATGGGTTCTGGGACCTTGCACTCAGGGCCTTCCTCATGCTTGCATAGAAGTGTTCCTAGTTGCTTAGCCATCTCTAAGACTTCAGCATCTAAGATGATGTTTACTGATGAAAACAATTTAATTTGACAGACATTCTCAGGGACGATTTTGAATATTAAAAAAAAATGAGGGAGAAATAAGATAGCTGAGAGCCCCAGTCTGCAAATATGTTTTTTAAAATTTTTTTAAAATATTTCCTTCCATTATTTTTCTCTCTATAATTTAAGCTATAGTACGTATCCTATTATCCACCATCCCACTGTATCCAGCACCATACCACAACGTACTGTATCTTAGTGGTCATGTGCTCATGACAATGACAGAATTATCCTTACTTAATTGAACCCCAGATAACCTTGTGTGATGGCAAAGCCCATTACCACCAACCGACAAGTAAAGAAAGTGAAACTCATGAAGATTAAATGTCCGTATTGCTTACGTCCAAGTTTTTCCTCAAGTCTTGCCATGACTCATTTTCTCCAACATTACTGTTTAGGAGTTCTATTAATAAACGATCTGCTTATGTTCTCATAAAACATGTCACTCGTCATCATCATCCCTTTATGTTACTGATCCTAATATTCTCCTTTTCTGCTGTTTAAATCATTTCCTTTGGGCTCTGCTTCCTTTGATAAATCAAGTATTATCAAAGCACACTTACTTCCATTATGCCAGCAATTCCCACTGAACAGAAGCTATCTTCTCAGTTTCCATAAATGCAATACTTGTATATAAAGTATCCTGTCTAACTCAATATCTGCTTCTTTCTCCTTTGTAAGCCCCCATTTGTAATGAAACTTTCCTATTATCTCTTTAGGACCACATGGTTATGAAGAACTACATTTAACTCAACTTGAACTTCCCTTTCCAGCCTCCATGTCTGTAACCACTAAGAAAGAGTTCATTCAACAAATATTTATGTAAAGCCTTTGTGTCGTGAACATTTCCACATTCTGAGGATAGAGCAGCAGATGAACAAAACAAACAATACCTCTGTTTTCTCTGAGTGTCCACTCTTGTGAGTTGACAATAAAATGAGAGATTGTATAATAAGATGACAGAGAGAGAAACAGAACAAGATATGCCAATCCTCAAGACAAGTTAAATAGGTTAAATGTTAAGACAAGCGTGAAGCAGCGGCAGATGAGCTGGAATTCAGTCTATGCAGAGGAAGATAAGCCCATTCCAGGCACAAGAACTGTCATGTTCAGCAGTCAGATCCAGAAGAGAAGGCTGTGATGATGGTGAATAGTAATTGCTCAGAAAGCTATAACCTGCTTCATTTAGGCCACTATTCCCAGTTCTATATCAGATGTAGCAAGTGACAAACCAATTTGCATTTTGCCCTTCCAGGAACATATTATTACCAAGACTAGAAAGCTTTCACTAGCCAATAAGAATTCGTAAAACGTTCAGCAAAGGTAGCCGTGTTAGCCAGTTATTGACCGTAACCAAGCCAAAGGAGTCAAGTAAATCTCATCAAAACAAACTACAGATAGAAGCACTGTACCTCCAGCACGTCCTGGGGTGGGTGGGTTGGGGTTAACCTCTTCCTCTCCTTTCAAAATCAAGAGAGGATACTGTTTCATCTTCAGTTTTACTTGCCAGGCTGTCATTTTAATATGAGTGGGTTAACCAGATGACCAGATAGTGAAACACGTCAACTCACGCAGATTTGGGTTTATTTCTCAATTAAATATTTAATGAGCCCCCTCCTCTTAAAATTGATGACTACTACTAAAATAGTTTTCTTAGAAACCAGCAACTTGTAAGAATGAAGTTTTGGTAAACGAGGAATTTAATTTCCTCACCATGTTCTGGAACTGAATTTTAAGTTACAAGATAATTGAATATGGCTGGGGATGGAATAAATTTAACCTCACAAGAAACTTGACTTCATTGATGTGATTTGCAGTGTTTATGGAAACATATTCACAGCAGTATTTGGCCGTGGACTCTAACGGTGTGGTCTATGCAGATTTAAGCCCATCTATGTGCACCGAAGGACAAGTGGGCCAGGGATTCCAGTCCCAGACTGT